GGTTTTGGGATCATACAATTTCCAAATTATAATTTGTACAGTTTAACAATCATACCACATCAAATGCACCCAACAGGTGTTTTACAAATATTTTATTGGACTCTTCAGTATTGTAATAATATTCATTAGGAGCACTACATGCAGATAACCAGATATTGTTACTGTACAAAGGCAAAATATGATCTGGAGTACATCTGAGTCTGTAAGTAGCACCTGTCAATCTTTTCCTGGAATTGTGTAGCTACCGTAAGATTCTGAGAAAGGATGCCTTTGATTTAAGGAATATTCAGATACTATTTGTACAGTACTTGGAATCATATTTGCCCTTTCAATTTGGTTCATTGCACAACCCTACAATTCATGTTCAAAGCAGGTTTTATTCTACACTAATTTCTAATCTGCACTGTCCACAGTATGGAATCTGGGTCATTAAAATTGAGATAATAAATTTATCACATCTGCGAAACAAGATTACTGAGGAATTAAGTGTTTAATCCAATAACCTTTTGCCTAACCTATATAATTTACTAGTTTGTTTCATCCACAATGGATGTCCCACTTTATCTAGACAAATAAGCAATTAATATTCCAAGTCATTTTTTTTTCTATCTCTGAATATGAGAGCCGATATAGGATGAGCTAGGAAGCTGCAGTAGAAATGGACAGATTCAGTTTTTAGTCCACAAGGTGACTGGGCCAATCACTTTCTCCCCAGAAACATCTTGACAACATGGAAAGACATACAATGTAGTATCTTATAATCCATCACAGTCAAAACAACAAGATATCGTGGATTAATTTTAGATGATAATAATATTATCAACAGCACACACACCCCTTAATCTTGAAAGGCATTCATAAGAATGTCTTTGGCTTACTTCTTATCACTGAAGTTGTACACAAAGAAGACCAGAGTTACATGATAACCAGAATGCAAGTCAGGTTGAAGTAACAAACAAGATTATCTGCCCAAAACATAAAGGCCAAGTCTACTTAAGAGATATAACGAAGGAAAATACTTACAAATCCAAGGGGTAGAAGAAAAGAACCAGGTATTTTCCTTTAAAGTCATCTAAACTGAGCTCCCTGAAATCTCCATCCACCACAGCTGTCCCCTTAAAAAATGGAGCACGCTGGGTGACAGCAGGAACAAATCTCGCGGTACCTGGTAATCATTAGATACAGTCATGTGTTACAATGCAGATTGAATTGAATTGATTATATTTCTATGCCGCCCTTTTCCCAGAAGGGACTCAGGGCGGCTCAC